AGTCTTGGAAATTACTCTAAAAATTCCTAAAAAAATCTAAATAAATTCTAAATAAATTATAAAATTCCTATAATGGTTCTATATTATTAATACTAGTTTAAAAATATAATTTCCTATCTTGATGATTTTTATAGTAATAAAATAAATTTAAATCTACTATAAATCCTACTTTCTATATAACTAACTAAAAAGATACGAGGTTCTTTCTCATGCTTCTTCTAACTACTAACTAAAATTTATATTTTTTTCTTATAAATAATATGTATAGATAGAAGGCCAATATAATATTTATTTTAGTAAATATTCCTCAATATTCAATAATAAATAAAAAAATATTAAATCAATTAAGATACTTGCTTTCAAGACTCACTAAGACTCCATTTCTTCTCCACTAATATTATTCTCCTTTATTTAACATCTTCTAAGCACATCTTTACCTAAAAATTATAATTTTGGTACTTTACATGCATTCTTTTGTCTTAAAACAACTAATGAAATAATTTGATGACCTATACAATGCACAAATACTAGAACAACATTAACTGGTTACAATTAATTATAATTTCTTTTGACAAAAATTTTAAGCAAATTTCTAAAAGAGGGACTAAATACAAAAGTTGCACCTTTGAAGCCATCACTTACTAAATAATATAATGTTAAAGGTTGATCTTAACTATAGATGATCATTGGTTGATTAGCTATTGTAAAAGATGCTATGGAAATTGAATCAATCTTGTATTGGAATTTTATTTAGTCCAACTTGTTCATATGTTCTTCTTTAGTTATAATGATGTTTCTTGATACAAATTCCTTCCGTAAATTACCTAGTACTATATTAACAAATCAGATCTTTATTTCATATATTATAAAAATCTAAAATACTATCATTGAGATGGAATCATGTTGTGTGTATAAAATTCATGGCGATTCAATAGTCATATTAAAGATTTCAATATACTGGAAATAGAAGACTACTTATAGCAATTAAATTTCAATTTTTGATTAAGTATCTAATCTAATTATTACAACATTGTTATTCTTTATCATTGTCTTCATATACAATTGATTATATCATCAATGCTTAAAGTTGCAATTGTAACTTCAATTATACTTAAATGAATTTTGAATTACTCATAGTTGATTTAACCATCTTAAGTATGAATACTCAAAAAAAAAAAAATACATTGCATTGCCACTATAATTTTAGGATGGCTACCTTGATAGATCAATTTTATGCCAAATATACTTTGCAAGCTCATGAACATTATTTCCTAAATTTATTTTTCATTCTATCTTCTATTTAATACATCCAATTGTCTTAAAATACACTTTGATCTACACAATTCTTATCTCCTACTGTGAATGTTGATACCTAGTGGCTTTAATTGTATATGCTTAAATTCTTCAATGTAGCAATAATAAGATCTCCCAATCCAATTGCTAGAATATGGCACTATTAAATCCTTTATTACATTTTAGCAATACACAACCTTTTATTGAATATCTAAAAGAGATCCACAAAGTTTGACAAAGATAAGAATCTTCTTCTACACACTACATTAATTACTATGACAACATGACTTGGAACTAAAGGCAATGCCCTACATGACTGCCAACACTAGAACAAGAGGAAAAAAAGATGAACTTAGTCTTTAAAACAACTTCAACTAGCATACAATCTAAAAAGATATGACAATTCAATAGGAATAGAAAAAAATGTTAATGTTCCTCCATGCCCAATAACCGCCAAACTCTATCTTTATAATATTCAACTAAACTATTCTAACAATCGTCACTCAACAAGCACCATTGATGAAAAAAATATAGAATAGTGAAACCACAATGGTCACTTCAAGCCAAAGCATTACTTTTTTGCTTACAAAAACCAACATAAAGAGAGAAAAAAAACCATTGCAATTAGAGCTGGACTTTTCATCCAATAAATAATAATAATAATAATAATAATAATAATCTAAGGCATACTTTGGTAGACCATGGTAGTTCTTTCTTAAAATTATGGAATTTCACTCTTATTATAGGAATTCTAGCAAATAAGATGATTTTATTTATTTATTTATTTATTTATTTTTCCTTCTCTTCTTTCTTCAAATTCTTTTTTCTTTTGTTTCTTTTTTTTCTAATTTCTCATTGAATATTTTGAATTAAAGATTTTGCCTCCACTTCTAACTTAATTTAAATATTTTAATAGTATTAAAAACTAATACTATCAAATTAAGATTTATATTAGCTAAATTTAAGAGGGACTATTTATTTTAGAATTCTTTTCCTATAAAAATTGCAAGAAATCTATTCTAGCCATTGCAATTCTATTAGTTGCTATTTATTTCAGAATTCTTATATTAATTCTCTAAACTAGTGATTTAAAGTACCATAAGTATTTTTTTGTATTTAAATACATTAATGAGTTAATTTAATGATTTACAACCAACTTTTCTTTCCTTCCACCATAAACAATTGATAACAACAATTAAGTCTTTTTGAAACCAAGGTAATAAAGGCTTGGTAGGAATAGAACAATTGTGGATTGAGATAACTAGTCGTAGTGTATATTATTTAATAAGATAGCATTTTTTATGTCAACAAGTAATTTAATATTCAAAGTTTTTTAATTGTAAGGGAATCATTGATAGTTCAAAAATAGCTCTGAGGTGAGTACTAGGCTATTGCTTTAGTGAAGATGTCTATGACATTTGAAACTCAAAAATATTGTTGGGACTCTAACTGCACTCTAGCTTGAAGATTGTTATCAATACAAAAGGATATTGATTGTTAGAAGAATTTGTGAATAAAGACATAATTTCCAACCTTCTATTTTCTTACATACTATTAATTGAATAAGATTAAGCAATTACAAAAAAATTATTGAGATAATATTGCAAAGGATTTATTTATATGATATGCATGGTTAATTATGAATTATTTTAATGCCAAAAATGATAGTTTAAAAAGCTAGAAGGAGCCTTTTTAAGAACTTAGTGTAGAATTTCTATATTACCAAGTTATAAGAAAAGAAATTGTTGTGAATTAGAATAGACTTCCAACTAGTGGGAATTTATTTTAATTTACATCAAGTTTTAGTAATCACATGGCATAATTATTTGAGTATCAAGATTTAGTCTAAATTTAGTAAAAATCTTACAACTTTTTAAGAAAGATAATATTTACTTCACATATTTTTACCTACTTATAATATGTTTGTCCACTAAATTAAGTTAAAAATAAATGTGACATTCAAAATTATTTGATGTTCTTCTTCTTTTTAATTTTACACCAAACATGTTATTAGAAATCACAATGTGTTTTAGATAACTAAATCTCTATTTTGATGCTTTATAATACTTCTTCTTTTAGATTATTTTACAATTTATCTTAGTATATACAAGTATTTTATTCTTACTTTCTATATAAAAAAGACATTTGAATATTTCATTGTTCAAATTTCAAATTGTATTCTATAGATATTATCACCAATACATCAAATAAAAGTAATCGTTACTGCAAGAAAGACAATATTATTTCAATCAACACTTTCTTTCTATTGTATCTAGATTACAAAAAATCTAATCTATCTAAACCTCTATTAATATAGATAATATTACAAACTTAGTATGATGGATGTCTATATTATTTTAATAAATAAATATAAATTAAAACATATTGGTGTGCTGTTTTTAAAACGTTGCAATGTTGTCATCCACTTTTCAAGCCTTTGTCTTGTATTATAACTATGATAACAAAGGCCTTTCCCAGCGTCAAACCAATGAGTTTCCAAAAAGCCCTCTTCATTAAATGCACGATACTCATGCCGCATTCCTAAAATATAACATGTTATACTGCAATTTCAGAAACTAGGCTGTGAAGTATTATTTTATTGCTCAAACTATTGGTAAATCGGTAACGGTGCTCCTTCCCACGTCTTGTTTCTCCTTTAATGATTGCTCAACTTACCTGCCGCAAGCTGGGTGCATCAGGGCTCAGCTGCTTATGGCACCTTGCCAGCAGAGAACTACGTAAATGTATTGTTTAACAGGACAATGGCGCACCTTGTTGTGCATGCGGAGATTTGTCAGTCAGAATATAATGAACTTACAGGTGATGCCTCAAACATGCCAAAAATCCGCAGCCACGTAGTGAAGTTTTTACAAGTTTGTGGTTTCTTGAGAGCCTCATTGAAATGTGATTCTTCACACACGGCCGTGTCAGCCATGTTCCATTCATTCACCTCATGAACTAGAACGATTCGTCACGCTCCACAGTTTCATGCTGATTTGACACTGCCTATATTAACCAAGCACTGTCTATGGGTATCTAATTTGATTATATGTTTCTATTGTTCGCTGTTCAATGTGTTTTTTTTATAAGACATTCTGCACATGGGAATGTATATTTGGTGAAGTCGGATTTGGTATATGCGGTTGAGATGCCTTGGTATTTGAGGTCAAACCTTTCTTCATGTTATCTTAATATCAGTCTAAGCAATACGAATTATTAATTGAATCAGTATTGTTTGAGAGAAATGGTGTTGGCTACAGTCTAAGTGTAGCAATAATATCAGTATTGTTGACAAATTATGAAAATGATAAATCTTTGGAGGTTGCAATTCGTAACACAAACGTGTTTGAGGTCAATCGTTTCTAATTAGCCTCATATCTAATCCAAGTCCACGTGCATTTTGTGAGGCAGTGCCCACTAGTCACATGAGTGTAGAGTTGAGATTATCCTACCACTACTGTGTCACCTTGCATTTATTAATGTAAGAGGTAGCAACTGACCAGTCACATGAAGCAAACAGAAAAATATAGCACATATCATTCTTGTCTTGCCAACTATGGAAAGTCAAACATTCCTCTCCGCGTCATACACATCGACACAACTTGGATTATCTGATCTCTCGCCCAAGTTTAGTACTCGCCTACATCACTAAATCTATGTTGAAGCTGCTCTTTACTACACGGATGTGACAATAAAGGGTGAGTCCTGTCCGAACTTCGAAACACCCATTTCCACACCATCAATATCATCTGTCCCCTGGCATGATCCGAGAGTTTTCAAGCATGGACAGCTCAACAGGGAACGTTTCACCCTCCAACTGCTTTGTAATGTTTTTGCGACACTTCGAATTCCTCAACCAACTACTCTGTGTGTTGCCTGTTTTCTGCAAGCTCTGAATGAACTAGAGCTAGTAGAGTTATGAGAGCGCTGATTAGATGCTGGTTTGACAGCTTAGAGCCACATTTGATCAAGTTCAGACAGCCGATCATTTGGATTTGTTGCAACGATAATTCTAGAACTGAGTCTATGGGGCGGGCATTCGGTCATCCTACTGGTGACCCTTGTGGTATCGACAGCAGAATACTCAATGCTTTCAGGGGTTCTCCGATGGAGGATACCATTGCGTAGAGGTTGGTATGGTCAAGAGTCAATGAATTCACAAAATGGGATTTAATCTTAAGTTACTGCTTTTCTGCGAATTTGGTGACATGTCCTCACAATATCGCTTGTTCTAATTTCTGCACGCAGGCGGCAATGCGGCCACGTGCGACCCTCGCGTCGGTTATGACGCTGATACTTGTTGCTAGTTTTGCAAGCACCGGTTTGGGCGCGCATACCCAGCAGGAGATATATGTACCTTCCTACGTCTATCCTTGCAGCGGTACTGCTGGTTGTGCTTGGGATGTGTTCAAAACCGGAGCCACATTGGTAATCATCAACCCCGCCAGTGGCCCGGGCACCGCCTCTAACGCCGACTATGTTAACCTCGTCAACACAGTGAAGGCGGGCAGTTCCACGGTCAAGATCGTGTTAGGCTATGTATCCACCAACTACGGTAACCGAGACTCTGCTCTAGTGCTGGCAGATATCGACAAGTACTACTCCTTCTACAATGTCGATGGCATATTCCTTGATGAAGGATCTACCGACTGCACCAAAACAAGTGTTTACAAGTCCTACGACACTCGAGTGAAATCCAAGGCAGGGTTGGGGTACACCGTGCTGAATTGGGGTGTTTACGGCCCTGAGTGCTATCTCACCAGCACCCACATCGACAATTACGTGAATTTCGAAAGTAAGTCCATCACGGCACTTGTAATATGTGTTTTTTGCATGTGCATCAGACAAGTGGATGCCGAGCACATGGTGTACGATGATGGTTAGTGTCACACACTTGTGTCCTGCTTTGACGCGTTGTCTTTGACGGAAGTTCAGGTTTGCACGTAGTTGTCGAGCCCGTCATTGTGCGAAGCAAGACCTAGTGTAAGAATGTAGAACATGGGTCCCGAGGCACAGCATCATCTTCTTCCGGACTCACGCTTTGAAAAGCAAGTTATCTGCTGTAAAATTCATGCATCTCCACGTGTAACATGTTTGCAAATACTGACATGTTCCATCTGGCATCAGATACATTCGCCCAATACACCAGTGCCTATGCGAGCGCTGTTCCGTCATGGGTAAACAAATACGACTCTTCTCGGTTTTGGAATATCCTCCACACCGCCCCCAACAACGCAACAGCGGTCACGCAAGCAGTAGGAACGGCCAAGACTCGAAACGTAGGGCAGGTCTACATCACAAATGACGTATTGTCCAATCCATTCGACACTGCCCCAGCATCGGCTCTGTGGACCGCACAAGTCAACAAGGCCAAGAGTTGCACCTGATCGGTCGATCATCAGGTTCTCATGCTCCGGCAGTCGTCGACTTCAAACCGAGAGTCCAGCATGCTATTGTATGTGAATTCGGCCGCACCGCAAACCCCATTTACTCCGTCCATGTGACCAAGTATAATAAGCCCAACGTCGTTGGGTCTAAGCTCACGACCCCTAGATGAATGTGTGATGCTGATTTACGGTGCCTTTATTGATTGTTTCCTTGAGTGGGCGTAATCCACTTTCTTGATCAGTTTCCCTTTACTCTCAGATAACAAGGGTGTGTTGAGGACTCTTCCACATATATTTATCTGCCGCAGTGCTAAGAGAACTCAGGAATTTAGGATCTACATTGTTGCTTGATATGTTGTGGCTGTTGTGCGGATCATGAAACTTTTATTTTCATCACCGTCAGGGGTTTCATCAGAACTACTGGCGTATAGTGACCGACACTGAGTAAATCGTAGCTGTAAATCAAGTTCATGGTCTGCATGAGTATTGAACCTTTGGCCTATGAGGGGTGTTTCGATGTGTTTCGATGCACTGATTTTGTTTAATATTGCAGTGCAGAGCATTGATCTGGTTTGATGTTGGCAACTTTCAAAGTCTCCTTTAATAGAGGAGATGGAACAATTTAATAGTGGAGATGGAATAATGAATTGAAGATAAAGAATTGACATTTGATTACATATTGCATGATGTTGAAAACCTATAATAATTAAATTATAAATATAATATTTTTTTGGAAATAAGTCTTAATAATGGAGTCAAAAATATTGCAAAGAAGAAAAAATAAATAAATTTTTAAATCAATAAGAATGATTACTTCCAATATATATGACATGAATAATGAATTTGGCAAGTGTGGTAATATGGGGTGGCACATAAACTTAGTCACATAAATAATCTGCATCATTATAGTACTATATTAGAATAGTGGATAGGAAATAATTAAATAATATTGTAGGCAGTTGTTCTATACTATATTATCATCCAATTCTTCTTCTTTAGCATCAAAGATTAGAAATTCATCTCCTCCTTTAATACTTGTATCTTTTACAATCAAACTATTGATGAGTAGGAAAAATATATAAGAATAAATACTCAATTATTTTATTGAATAAGGCTAATTCTAATTCCAATACGTTAGTATATCATAATGAGCCATTGGCCATAAATTTGAGGTATTCAAGACCATTACAAATACACTCCTATGTCTTCATGAAAAATTGGTCATTCATCAAGACAACAATAATATCTAATACACCCTTACTTTTGATCATCTCAATATTATCAATGAAATTGAGAAACTATTTTAGTTTCAAGTAAAAGTAAATTTATAAGGAATAACAACCAACACTACTTTCTTGCTCTTCAAATTCTAATATTTATTAAACTTCTTGCTTTACTTGTCATTGTTCAAATGTGACAACATTAGTTATAGGATTATGTATAAAGGACATGAATATCAAAGAATTAAAATGTCAATACATTCTTATGTTACTTAAAAAGATTAAAAAATTATTCAAAATTGATATAGTATTAAATTAGAATGGCTATTGCCAAAGACAATAAGACTTAAAAAATCTTAAGACAAGACTAGAGACTAAAAAGGCATTGAAAAGAATGAAGAAGGCTTTATTCTTACCTCTATATATACTCTTAACTAGGAGCTACGTGGTGATGTCCTATTGGATCTCCAAAACATGTTGACTTTGCAAGACATGTATCTTAACTTGCAAGGCAAGTTTTCTATATACGCGCCACATATTTAGCTTATTTCATAAGCTACCAATATGTGATTAATTTATTGATCAAGTTTCTAATCTATTAAATTAACTACAAATATATATAAAGTCAAAGTAGTATATGTGAAGCTTTTAAGAAGCTTCTCTAAAAAATATTATAAAATAAATATACTTTTATCTACTTCTACTTAATCATATAGATAAATATTAGAATAAATATGTAAGTTCATGACATTACCTCCTCTTTTAGGGATGAATTGCATAAAGAATGGTCATTACATATTGAAAAAATCCAAGATGCAACAAATTATATTTGCCACATATTTTGATCTTTGTTTTCTTTGAAGATGATTGATAGGTCCTCTTAGCTATAGATAGTATCCCATATCAAGGTAGAAAGATCATTTTATTATTTAATCATTATTGAGGCCTTTGTAACTTTTTTCAAATAAAACATTCAGAATATCATCAAGAGTCATTTCTACTTCTAATGAAACAAGATATTTTAATTTATTTTAGTACCAATGAACAAGATATTCTAATCTATTTTAGTGTTTCTTTAAATCTAAAACTTCTTGCGCTTCAAACTTTTGATTATTATCCACTTTTATAGGAGGAAGTGGCATTTGTCTTCTTTTCATGATATTCATTGTCTTATATGGCTCAAGAAGAGATATATAGAATATAAGATGAAATTTTCATATATTTTGATAGATATAATTAATAAACAACAAGATTGATGTGTTCACTAATAGAATAAAGACTAAGCCTAGAATAGTCTAACTTGTCATAAAGATAAGTAATCTTGATATTGCAATGAAGTAATTATATCTTGTCACCTATGTTGAATTGTGGTTGTTTCTTAAAATAGGCATCTACATTGATTATTTGTTATTCTAGAGCTTCTTTTAACTATGCCTTCATTGTTGCATATAGCTTTGACAAACAATTTTCCAAATCTTCTCTCGTAGCATTATCAACTTTTGAAAAGTCAAAAGTACTAAGTCATGGATGATAACTATAATTGGCAAAGAAAGGTATTTTTTGAATAGAAAAATATACATAATTATTGTATACAAACTCTACCAATGACAAAAGAGTTGTTTAATCATCTTGATGATAATTGATGATACACCTCAAATATTGCTCCAAAATTTGATTTATCCATTTTATTTATCCATCAATTTAAGAATGAAAAGCCAAAGAGAGCTTTATATTCACCTTTAATATTTTAAAAAGGATTCACTGTAATCTTTATATAAATTGAGTTTTTCTATGTGATGTAATATCTTTAAGCAATCCATAATAGAGATAAATGTTATCAAGAAAAAGCTTAGGCATTTCTTCACTTGTGATAGATTTTATATATGGTATAAAATAAAATATCTTGGTAAAAAAATCTACTATTACAAATATAGAATCATAAAAATCTAAGATTGAAAGATCCATAATAAAATCTATAGAAACAGAAGATAATTATTTTAGAATAGATAATGGCTGAAGAAGTCCATAAGGTCAATGACAAAGAGTTTTGGATCTTAAACAAATATTACATGATTGTACAAAGTCTTTGATTGCCTTCCACATTTGAGGCCACCAAAAATCTCTAGATATTAGCTCTCAAGTCTCATTGTATCCAAAATGTCTGACTATTGGAAAGTCATGATGATCTTGAAAAGTATGTAATTGTACTTCACCTTTTCAAATGTATAATTGTTTCTCAAAGTAGAGTTTATTATTCTTGAACTCAAACTTTGAAGTATTATGAAACTTAGAAAAATTATTCTTGATATCATGAACAAGAGGATTAGAGGACATACTTGATTGAATTTGCTTAACAAAGGTTGAATCAACAATCCATGTTGATTTTATTATTCAAAGATAAAAATACTCAAACTTCAAGAGAATTATTTTTTAATGATAAAAAAATACATCTTCTTCTTTTGGTACAAGATAAGAATGTCTAAAAAAAATATTTAATAAACATATTTGTTTTCTAAGTCTATAGATAATCTTGAAATCAAATCTTAACAAAGACATACTTGAAAGAGCTTGGCAACAATTAAAAATACATGCTGATATGGAGTACTTAAGGTTCTTGTGATCCATATATACAATAATTGTATTATAAGTATCTTTTAGATAATGATACCTTTCTTGAAATAAATCCACAATTTTAAGCAGATTTTTGTTGTAGATCTTATACTTGATCTCAATTGTTAAAAATTTCTTAGAATAAAAAGCTATCAAATAAAGCTTATTATCAACTTCTATTTGCAATAAAGTAGCACCCATAGCAAAGTGTGATGTGCATATTTCCATAAAAAATACCTTAAAAAAATTGACACAATATAAAATTGGTGTAAAAATAAATGCTTTCTTTAATGCTTCAAAAGATGTTTCAGCTTCTCTACTTCACTCAAGTAGTATGAAATATCATTTCTAAAGATCTATTATTAATCATTTGTTGGAAATGAAACATCCTAAGAAACCAACTCAAGTAGTATGAAATACATGCTTTCTTATCTTGACATATCATCTTACATTTCTTAATTTTTGTAATACATGATGAATATGAAGTTCACATTCTTTTATGTTTTTAAAGTAGATTAGAATATTATCTAAATAATAGATAATAAAAATATTAAGAAATTCAAAAAAGACATCAATCATGAGATATTAAAAGCAGCTGGTATATTTAAGAATCTAAAAGATATAACATTATATTTGAAATATCCATACCTAATTCAAGAAGCAATCTTCCACTCATCTCCTTCTTTGATGTGGACCAGATTGTGTGTTCTTCATAGATCTATTTTTGTCTAGATCCTTGTCTAATCAAATTAATAAAAAAGTCCTAAAATCAAAAGTAGAAAATATCTATTCTTGATGGTGATCTTGTTAAATTCTCAATAGTCTAAATACATCTATAAAGATCCATCTTTTTCTTTTATAAATAAGATAGGATTCTTATTGATATTTTTAATGGTGTATAAAGTTCTTAGTCAAGTTTTTATCAATGTACTCTTTTAATGCATCAAACTCATTTTATAATGAAATATAGAATAGTCCAAATGGTGGTTGAGCTCCTTCTTGTAGATCAATTGTATAATCACAAGGTCAATTCTTTAGAAAAATATTTACATTTAAAAAAAAAAAAAAATCTTGTAAACCTTGATATTATTTAGGAATATGATTTGACATCTTTTCACCATCAAAAATAGGTGTGGCATATATAGCAAAAGATGACCCTTCTTTTGTCACATACATGAAAGCTCTTACACTTATCAATAAGAATTTGGATGTACCAGGCTTATCTATTTCTACTTCACTATTGAAATTTTGGATTAAATTACAAGAAAAGTTAAGGTTAGGATAAATCCAATCTATTTGAAGGTTGTATTTTTCTAACTACAATAATCCTTAGATAATTGGATTGAAAGGAGATCTTATTACATTAAATATTATTATACTATTACAATCTTTAATTTCCACATCTAAAAGAATAGTCTCATGAATAATGACTCCAAAAGTAAACGAACGACCATCTATGACTTCTATATGTACGGATTTAGTTTTCTTCACTAAAGATATTTTTTATTTTTTTAATAAAATATTTGTCTATAAAATATGTTGAAGCTCTTGGATCTAATAATGTAAAGACTTTGTGATTTTTAGGTCTTAAATACACATCTATTATAAAATAAGGTGAAAGATCTAAGAAAAGAATAGAACCTTTACTAGATATTACACATAATTCTAGC